AATTGAAGTTTCACTTCTAATATAATGATCCCAATGCCCATCTTGTGACCGTTAACATTAACACTTCTACCTCTATATGACAGCTAATAAGTTAAACCGACGACCATAACCTTTCTAACCTTTTGTGATACTCCCATCGATCATTTAATGAATCATGAAGAACAATATAAAATTTTAAACAATTTCTTGTTCCACCTATATATATAGGAACAAAGTTCCACTTGAGAGTAAATCCCGACATTCTTCTAATTCATTCCTTCCGTAGAAATGGAATTTGTGTATTTTTCATATTCTTTTAACTACAACAAGAATGTTTCAATAGTTTTCAACTTTTTAATTACCAAAAAAAAAACCTCTCCTAGTAGTCGATTTCCTATAGTTATGTACGTGAATGATTGCATTCACCATGAGTTTTTTTGAACTTATTACAAGTCTTACTTTCATTGCAATTCTCCATTTTTCATTCTCTATAGCTTCTTTGAGAGTGATCCTATTGGTTGGAGTCGTTTGACCAACATTTTACTCCCTATACAGATCAACCGAACAATTCACATGCTTACAAAAGGACAATTATGTACATTCACAGCAAGTATGTATCCCAGTACATTAATCAACCTGATCACCTGAGCTACATATCAAAATCTCACACTCGTAATAGTGTCGTTTCCACGCGTACCCCTTCTCTTTCTTTCTCTGTGTATATATGCAGAGACATATGTATACATATATACATATCCACGTGTGTGTGTATATATATATATCGTTTCTTTCTTCTTCATTGTGGGGAATTCCAGTCAAAATGAACAGCAGGCATCGTTTTTCCAATGATTACTCCGACACAATCGACGACTACTCCGGCGATGAAACAATGGAAGTGGAGTCGACGGAGAGTAAGAGCAGCATTCACGGCGGCGCATTCCGTCGAGGTGTTTTACTGGCGTGGGAACAGGTTTATTTGCTTGTATGCATCACCGGTATGTTCATCGACCCGCTGTTTTTCTACACACTCTCCATAAGCGACTCCTGGATGTGTGTGTTCATCGACGGGTGGTTTGCTATCACCGTCACGGTGGTCCGGTGCATGACCGACGCCTTCCACGCGGCCAACATGTGGTTACAGTTCAAGTCGAACAGGTGGTGGCGTTACGACGTCGGATTACGACATGACGACAGGAATTCATGCAACGTGTCCCGGAAGGCGTTCCTGTTTGATCTCTTCGTCATCCTCCCAATCCCTCAGGTTTATAACACATTTGACAGAAATCATTATACCGATAAAAGTATTATTATTTAGTACATGTCAACTTTCCATTAAGACAAAATCTAAACAAGATAAAGTCGCGTCCTAAAAATATTAATTTAATACTAGAATATAAAAATTAATTAATTTAGTTAATGCATATTCTAACATATTTATGTTTTACATTTTATTTTTCTTGCACGGTTTGTTCCATATTATATAGGTTTTGATAAATGTTATTCTAATAGTTACATGTTTAGTATCTTTGATCAATCTTAATGAAACCATTTAGAGAGTATACTTTATCCTTGAATCGGTTGGCAGTCAGCGCTTTATACAGTCTTTTGAATTAAAACTCTCGAAAATCCAAACAGTTCAATAACTTTATTTCTCTTTTCAATATTAAGGTGAAATCATTCACAATAAATGGTTCATTTATATTATACAATTTTTAAATAATATAGTATTAAATTCTTTCGACAGGTGGTGTTATGGGTAGTGATTCCTGCATTGTTAAAGAAGGGTTCGACGACAGAAATAATGACAGTTTCTTTACTCATGTTCTTGTTTCAATACTTACCAAAGATTTATCACTCTGTATGCCTTTTGCGACGTATGCAAAATCTCTCAGGCTACATTTTTGGTACTGTTTGGTGGGGGATTGCTCTCAATTTGATTGCTTATTTAGTTGCCTCTCATGTAAGATTGTATTTTTTATCTTAATTTTGTCTTAACATGCGTACATTATTTTAAAATTACAATAGACCCCTTCAATAATTGAAAATAAATTTACTCCCAAAAGAAATTGTGACAAAAGTACCCTTTAAGTTGTGTTTACATATAACTAGCTAGAATTTAATATATGTTAGTCATTTTCTAAAATATTTTTTATCGATTTGCAGGCGGTAGGAGCATGTTGGTACTTGCTTGGTATGCAAAGGGTTGAGAAATGCTTGAAAGAAAAATGCATGGAAGCAAACGGGATTTGTGTCTCAAGGTTTTTGACATGTCAGAACCCTGTTTATTATGGCACAGATAAGTTTGTGAAAGATCACGCAAGGCTCTTATGGGGATCAAATAAAGAGGCGAGAACAACTTGTCTTGAAAACGAAGACAATGGCTATGGAGCTTATAAATGGACTCTTCAACTCGTTACCAATGATAGCCGTTTGGAAAAGATACTTCTCCCCATTTTTTGGGGACTCATGAACCTCAGGTAACCGGATTTTTCATCAAGAAACGTTTTTTATAGTGTTAAATGATTTATTATATGTATTTATTATATATACAGTACGTTTGGGAACTTAGAAAGCACAACAGATTGGTTGGAATGCGTTTTCATCATCATTGTTCTCACAATGGGACTTCTTCTAGTCACCATGTTGATTGGAAATATCAAGGTACATGCACACACATATAAATATCATGGATTGGTCTCAAAAGCATCCTTATTGAACTTAAAGTTACTTTTTTTAATATGTAGAGAATACAAGGACTTTTTAGTCATTTTTGAAAGATGATATATTTTTGTGTATATAGGTGTTTTTACATGCAACAACATCAAAGAAACTAGCTATGCAATTGAAAATGAGAAACATAGAGTGGTGGATGAGGAGGAGACACCTCCCTCAGAGTTTCCGGCAAAGAGTACGTAACTATGAGCGCCAACGATGGGCGGCAATGCGTGGTGTGGACGAATGTGAGATGATACACAATCTCCCTGAGGGTCTCAGGAGAGACATTAAGTATCATCTCTGCTTGGACTTGGTCCGACAGGTACGTATACTGATAATCTAAAATCTATTGTCTATTATTTATAACAAATCGAATATCTTATTTTATTAGTTGAGATACACATTAATAGACAATGAATAAATGGTTTCTTTCTTTTGTAAAAAGTTTTCTATAATGACATATACTAAATAGAACCTTGTAATCATAGTTGATGGGCAAATGTTGAACTGTTTGGATTTACATGACAATAATCTCGACTGGTGGGTGTAATTGGTAATAAGATAGACCTTCGAGGAGGTGAGATGAAACTTATATGTTCTTAGGGCATCCATGAACTCTAAGGAGTTCAACTATACTCTTTAACATCCAAACTCCATTAAACCCTTCAAAGTTTAATGGATTTATATATTTGGTTTGAAATTTAATTGAAAAAGAAAAGATTAAATTCATTGAACCACTTAATGATCATGCAACTCTCTCATTCAACTCTCCTCCATGTCATCACTCACACTCCATTAAACTTCTATTCAATCATAGTCATCATCTATTCAACTCTTATTAAACCCTGATCGTTTATCTTAAAATCTTATTGTTATGATGAATGTTTAACTCAGGTACCATTATTTCAACATATGGACAATTTGGTCCTTGAGAATATATGCGATCGTGTCAAGTCCCTCATTTTTACCAAGGGAGAAACGGTAAGTCCTTCTGAACTAAAATGTATAGAATTACTACCTTCATTTAATCACAAAAATAACTATCATGTGATATTTTAATATTTAATATTTAATAAAGTAACCATTTTTGCAATCTTTTGTTAATAAAAAATAAAGTTGAGATTTAATTAAAAAAATAAAATATAAAGTTGAGGTTTAATTAAAAAAATACTAAAATATAGAATCTTTTATCTAATTAAACCCAAAAAAATCATATTTGTAGCTTTTTGTTCTTAAATAGTAAATTTTTTAATTTTTCAAAAGAAAAAATCAATTTTGCAATTTATTGAAATTTTGCAACCAATAAAATATGAAATTGATAGTTATTGCATAAATTTCGTATTTTCTTTAAAAATATTTTATTTATTTATTGTTGGAGTAGATTGCAAGAGAAGGAGACCCTGTACAGAGAATGTTATTCATAGTAAGAGGCCATCTTCAAAGCAGCCAAGTACTCCGAGATGGTGTCAACAGTTGTTGCATGTTAGGCCCCGGAAACTTCAGCGGCGATGAGCTCTTATCATGGTGTCTCCGACGGCCCTTCATCGAGAGACTACCACCCTCATCATCAACGCTTGTGACTCTCGAAACAACTGAAGCTTTTGGGCTAGAAGCTGATGATGTCAAATATGTAACGCAACATTTCAGGTATACATTTGTGAATGAAAAGGTGAAGAGGAGTGCTCGATATTATTCTCCAGGGTGGAGGACTTGGGCGGCGGTGGCGATTCAGTTGGCATGGCGGAGGTACCGACATAGACTCACTTTGACGTCGTTGTCTTTCATTAGGCCGAGAAGACCATTGTCGAGGTGTTCTTCACTTGGGGAAGATCGGTTGAGGCTTTACACCGCTTTGTTGACTTCGCCCAAACCAAATCAAGATGATTTTGACTTTTGAGATTGTAGATTTGGGTGTTATAATGTTCGTATAAAGATAATAAAAAGAGAAGTATAAAGTTGTATATGTAATATGTTTTATTTATTCGTTTGATTATCAAAAGTTTGAGTATCGTTAAACAATATATGAATATAATATGTAGATTAATGTTCATATAAATAATCAGATTTCTAAAATTCATTCGAAATTAACGTTTATAGATAAGAGTTTGATCTGTTGATGCTACAGATCAACCGATATGTTTGATATTGAAGTAGAAAAGTTAATCCAGCAACAAATTGTGACGCGATTCGATTCAAAAATCATGCATTGATGATGGATGGAGACAACTTATGAACACTTACAAGATTAGTGATAGTGTTGTTTATCTTGTTGATCGACATCCATGGCAATAATATAGATCACGCTTCTAAAATCTAACATTATTTGAACCAAAGCAGCTCATATCCATGGCTTTCTTCATCGATTCCTCTTTTCCTCTCCTCACTCTGAATTTACGAGTTGTAACCACCGTTGACGAATAATAAGAAATTTTCATAAGAGGTTTGTTCCACAGTGCAACGCCTTGATCTTTCAACGCCTCAACCGACCCGATGGTAGCGGCCACCACCCAAGCTTTCCTTACTACGTCACCACTCATCCTCCTCCGTGTGTGATTCCATCGATAGAATCCGACCGGGTTAGTGTGACTGTTTAGGTTTAGGAATTGTGTGAATGATATAAATGGAGGGGGAGGGAGATGTGCATCATGTGTTCGACGAAATGACAAAATGAAAAACGCAGCTTTCATGTCTTGTGGGTTGCTCCCACTTAGCCTTGGAATTAAAATTGGTTAAGTGATCCATGGATTCTATATTGTGTTGTATATGTTTATATCCTCACGAGAGTTTACTTTCAAATAAGACACTAGTCAATATGTCTATTTTTTACTATATATGTCAAACAAATATAGACTCTAGTCAATATATCTATTTAATACTATATACGTAAAACAAATAGGAACTAATGTAATCACTATTTGGTTAATGGACTCGCCGATAAATTAACTATCGTTCATTATTTATATAACTTCAATATATATATAGATGATGATTCATTACATGGTGTCAAGTAACGAATAATAACTTGAAATGCGGATAAAAAATAGATGTTGTTTACATCATGCGGATGAATTCTAAAAATTCGATTTGTACCGAAAACAATGACAAAATCATCCTACCTTTCAGCAGTCATATGTTACATATCAAAATATGTTTCTATTTCCAAGGCTGAGAGGTGTGGTTGCGGTTCCCAATGCAGTTTCCCACTTAAGTTGTGGAAAACACCGTGTTGGTTATGTGTTTCCGAGTGCGGTTTCTCCTCTCTCTCCTCTCTCTCTCTCTCTCTCTCTCGCGCCCTCCTCTCTCTCTCTCTCTCTCTCTCTCTCCTCTATATATATATTATAGATATATATATATAATATATCTTCTCTTCTCCAACCATCTCCTCTATCTCTTTCTTCTTCCTTTCTTCTCCACCGTTCTTTGTCCATGGTTTCAAAATGGATGTCACACCACAATTTTGTGTGGAGTTGAGGTCGAGTGTTTTGTTATGGTAGAACCATGGCATGACACCATCCCGTGTAACGCCCGAAATCTTGAGGATAAACTTTTGGGAATAAAGCCTAATTCGAGTTGAACACGGCGTGTCAGAGAAACCAACACGGCGTGTCAGAGGAACCCACACGGCGTGTTTAGGATGGAAGAATCGTGAGGATTAAATGAACCGACACGGCGTCTTGAGGTGCCTCAACTCGGTGTGTTGGAAGCTAGGAAGGAAACCCTAATTTTTAGGGTGTTGCACCCTATTTAAAGGCCTTAAGTTCCTTTGGATGGCCTCTGTAACGCCAGTAGATCCGGGCTAGTCAATTTAGAGACAAAGAGCATCAAAAATTAGTTTTTGATGGAAGATTATTTGGAAGGATTAATCTTAACCATTTCATAGTATATGTTACAAGGGTTCCGTACATATAAAGAACGCCGAAATCCGAGTTATAACGAAGAAGTTATGGCACGTCGAAGTTTTACGGCAAAACTGGTACGGCACCGGGAGACGTAAATAGTGAATTTACGATAGAAGACTTTTTAGCCTTAGTGATCTAAACAAAAGTTGTAGTATACGTTAAACCGAGAACTTACAAAAAAATAACTCCCAAATCTGACTTCGTATGAGGAATTTATGAATTTTCTAAGATTTGGCATAGCAGTGCACGGCCTGAAACTCGAATTTTAGTTAGAGCGGGTTTTTGGCTTACGCGACCTAAATGAGAGTTGAAGATCTCATTAATAGGAACTCAAAGGTAAAAAGACAGACGAAAACGGAGTCCGTATGAAGGAGTTACGAATTTTTCGCGGTCATTTAACAGTCTAATCTCCTCATACTGTTAAATTTAAGATCGGTCAAGAATTAGCCGACAGAGTCTAAATGAAAGTTGTAGATCTTGTTTTTACCTACGCGTGGATATAAAGAACGTCGAATACGGAGCTCGTATGCGAAAGTTACGGGGTTTAGAAGTCGGCAGGGTGTTTGTACGAAATCGGGTGACGTGGCTGAATATGGGCCAATGCTTTCTCCACAAGAAAAGCCATCAGGTGATGACACATGGCACTGACTCGGCGAGTCAGTGACCCGACTCGGCGAGTCCATCAGGAATTCAGCCTATAAATAGAGGTGTCGGGCATTGCCATTTCCTCACTCCTCAAGCCTCTTCTTTCTCTCTCTATACTCTCTCTCTCTCTCTAAGCCTCCAACCCCCCCCCCCTAAAGTCTAAAAAGTCTAGTAAACCCCCTAGCACCCGAAGGAAGCCCCGAGGCTCCCGAGCCCCGAGAAAAGAGCCCTTTCGGCTCGGAACGCTGCTCCAGCGAAGCCCGGTTTCTCGAGAAACCCGCTGTAAGTGAGCTACGCCTAACCTATCTTTACTATAGTTTTATGTTTCAATATAGTAATGTTATTAGGACTTATAATGAGTATTTTGGGCTATATTATGGTTATATAAGTATCGTTATAATATCTTTTTAACCACTCGCGGTACGGGGAATCTGGTTTAAAAGGCCGCATAGGGTTGTTGGATTTCAGAAGTGTTATATGCCAAAATGGTCCTGCCCTCCGGTGTTTTATGTCTGGCCCCTGTTTGTACATAGTGGGTGAAGAGTATTGTTTAACGCTTATATAATAGTAATAATAGTTAGACTATTAATTAGTCGCGGTTAACGTTAGACTAAACTCTAGTGGTAATGATACTAGGTTTTGTCCGAGGGAAATTGTTTTAAGAGTAACGAAGTGCTGTCCGAGTGCCGAGTCACCACCATATCAGGTGAGTGCATAGTTACTTTCATCTTACACATAGATATGAAGTATTTTATATATACTACGTGCTATGTGTGCATATTACCTGTATACTTGCTATCTATGCTGGATGAACGATTTTATACAAGTTTTATATGATTTAAACTGTATATGTATTTATATCTACATAATATGTTGGGTAAAACATGGGTAGATGAAATATGAGTTGGACGATAAGTTGAGAGGTAATATAGACCATGAGGTAAGGGTGAGAGGTGGACGATGTGAGAAGCCTTTTTCCAAATGTTGGCCCCGTCATCTAGCAGAGTATGGATAACAACCACGGACTATTCTAGACAGTCCAGTGGAACACTAGCAGGCTTGCAACCTGTAGGTGTTGTGAACGATGTGTTCACCGGTGTACTCTAAAAACCCATGGACATGTATTGCGAATGGACTCTCGAAAATAATATTGTCAATAAACGAGATAACCCTGACAGATGCGCCTAAAGGACTCTACCGGCAGAAGCGCCTAATAGAAAACCTCATAACCCCGGCAGATGCGCCTAAAGGACTATACCGGCAGATGCGCCCCATAAAGAATGTCATAATTCTGGCAGATGCGCCTAAGTGATAATATTAGCAGTTATGCTTGACAGATGTGTCATTAGAAACAATGGATTTCGTGCCTATTCCTTAGGATAATCCTTAGGAATGAATGAACGAGGAATAGCTGATTTTTAGGGTAGATCCTTAAGAGTAAAGAAGATAATGGGGATGGGTAATTGGGTTAATTGTTTGATGTTTAAACATAATAATTATATTATTGTGGGTTGAAAACCCTATGTACTCACCAGGTTTCCCAACCTGACCCACTCAAGCTTATTTGAATCACAGGTGCCAATACGAAGTTACATTACATTGAGAGATTAAAGAGGTGTAGATCACTAGTGATAATGAATGTAAGTTATGTTTATGCTTATGTTTCTGTATTGACGACGACATCCCAATGTTTTAAAATGAATAAAAACATTTCTTTTCTTCGGAAATGCTTTGATACGTATTTATCATGTTTTTCTGGGAACAAATTCCGCAACATTTTTATTAAAAGAGGTACTCTGATTTTTATAAAGCATAAACAAAATCGGTCTTTTATGGCCGTGAAAATGGGGACGTCACAGTTGGTATCAGAGCATTAGTTTAAGCGAACTAGGAATATGGATTTATTTCTAGACTTAAACTTAGCATGCTAAGCTATGATCGTGAGGAGTGTGTCTAATATATTTTAGGAAGTACACCTGAATAGACACGGGCACTAGCTCATTTAGGGAAGATGTCTAAATTGTTTTTATGTGCTAAATGATTTGTGATGCTTTATGATGCTATCGTTTGATCGGATCTATGGTCTGTTGCCGACCGGATCTGGAAACTTTATGTGTTCAAATTTCTAAACGTTTAATTACGACATTTGAACTGGCATGTAATTTTTCGAAGTAATAAGGAGGAATACGCATCTAAACCTTCCTCTATCTATATTCTCGTCTCGACACACCAAACGACTGCTTTGGTGTGCAAAACACATGGTGAAGACTCGTAGTGAATTGAGAAAATGGAGGAAATGAGAAGGCTTACGATAGTGAATGATACATATCGGAAGATATCATAAGAGTGATATCTTGCCTTTAGAACGCATCTAAGAAATAATACGTCTAGTACGGGAGAAGTACACTTTCGATTAGCAGAAAGAAAGATTTTTGGTATAATCCATGAAGTTATCCCATCGTCTGACATTTCCATCACCAACCAAGTTGAAGCAGAAATGATGATTGAAGATACGCATGGAAGAAGTCCTAGTAGAGTCTAGGGAAAATTATGTGATTGTTTGGACACATTTGTATGTGTTAAAATTGTTTTTGTGGTAATAACTTGGAGAACTGTGAGACAATACTTGGGACGAGTATGAGTAGGTGTGAATGGTAGTAGAGGCCTATACTACCGGAAGCACAAGACTCGCACTTGGATCAGGGAAAGTCACAAGGTTACCAAGAAGCTAGTAATTGATACCATTTTATTCAAGTATGTCGTTACCATTGTTTCGGTAATGACTAAGAATATGATTGTTGTTTCGACCCTAGTGGTCATATCGAATCGAGTCTGACTAAGATGGGTATGTTACGTGGTTCAGAGAACCAAGTTCGATGTAGCATCTGACTTAAGCCAGAAGATTGAAGTGAAAGATAATCGAAGCGATCAATAGAAGTATCGCGCTAGTTAAAGAAGATGGTAGCTAGAAATGCTACCATTTAAGATATAATTAGAACATGAAGGAAGGTATACTCTGTTCTGGAATTTGACTCTCAAAGACCTGAGTCTAAGCGTTGCACCATACGATGATAGGTCATTAGAACATGACACATCGATCCATGATAGTAATAAAAGAACTTATTTTAAGTTTGTTAAGAAGA